CCTGAAGGAAATGGAAATCCACAGCTTGATGGACGGAGCTGCCTTGGCTAAGGGAAAGTAGACACCACACATTGTTACCATGGGAACACAGAGTGAACAGCCGTGCCAGTCTAATTAATGACAGTCGGTGCTTCAGCAGAAGGCCACGATGACATCATCAATACCAGCGCCGCAGATGTAGCTAGAGGCAATATGGCTCAATATCTGAGTAATTAAACAAGTAATCCCTCCTTTCACTCGCGCGAAACGTCTGAACAAAGGTGCGGGAAGCGAAGAACGGGGCAAACAATAATAGGTGTTTATTATGTGTGACGCCCGCTTATGAGCACAAAATGTCATCTCATTATCCGACAGCATGACCTACATAAAAGAACGGAACTAATCTCTATGTAGGCGGGTGGTGAATAATGCAGTGAAATGTGGGAGATCTTTATGAATCTTAGATGTCTCACACTTGTTGGCTGCTGGCGCAGCATTAGCTCCAGAGTCACTCCAGATTCTCCCGCTCAGATTGTTTACTTTATGATCGATATTTTGGTCCCACTTTGCTGGACGAAGACAGCGGCGTGCCGGATCGGTATGTGTGTCAGAGTTAGAGCTGATGGCACTGGAAGGATTCAGTGTTTAGCAGAATAACCAGCACCGTCATCCTCGAGCCCATTAATAAAGGTCCACCAGAGATGAATTGATGAGAAATGATCATGCATTTTAGTCCAAAGTTCTTTATTTTTCTGTCCCCCGTGCTGGAGTCTTTTTTTTTTTTATAGAGGCTGAAGCCTCAACTGCTATAAGACTCTATTAAGTTAGTATCGTGTGATTTAATATGGATATCTTAGAGCTATTTGCTTGAAAGCTAATAGAAATATATGTTTTTAAAAATCCACATCACAGTTAATTCCAGGTTAATAGATCTGTTTTCTATTTTAATATTCCCTGTTAGACTGGTTCTTGTTGTCTGAGCGAACTCAGCCTTTTTAATGGAAGCTGATTTTTTTTACCAATGGAAAGTTTCCTCAGCACAAGTTACGAAAACGGTTTTGTTCTCGTCTTTATTGGTACGTAACTGACAAAAAGGTAGTCCGGTCCAGCTGGCCAGCCCTCTCAGTGTGTGTCATGTACCGGACTTTCTGGTCTTTGACACGTTTGACCAACTTGAACAACCGGTGTGCTGAACATGTGGAAGCTTCCCACAGAGAGGGCCAGGGACTCTGAACTCAGCCTGGACCTCAGAGTTCCCCTCTGTGGCATTGTGGTGGTTTTCCCCTCTGAAATGTAACTAGCTAAACAAAGTTCACGCAATGATGTTTTGAGAGGTTTTTATATCAGTTGATAGCAGATAAAGCCTTTTGAAACTTCTTTTTAGGAGTTTATCTCAAATAAAGTTGTCTTTTTCTACACTTTTGTACACTCGTGGTACACTTGTGCCGTCAATCAGTTACAGTATTGGATTGTGAGTAATAGCATGACTTAAATTCATTTATTTGATTAAGCTGGCTCTAAAAATCTGAGTGTTACCTTTTTAAACAAATGCAATAGGCCTCTTGCAAATATAAATTTACCAGCCGAGCACTCCTATTAAGGGGTATTTGGTTTTTAAGGCGTGGTTGTGTGAATTACTTAGGTGTAGTCAGTCCTACGTGTCGTATCCTGCCAGGAGCTGGGTCAGGAGTTGGGTCAGATGTATTAGAAAGCTTATGTGGAGCTTTTGGAGATTGTTGTGCATGTCCAGGCTTTCTGTTAATTTCTTTACTGCCCCATAATGTTGTGATTACACCGGCAGAGTGAGTCACAGCTGATCAGCAGCACGACGCGTGAACACAACGCCGTGGACGAGCACGGACGCTCTCCCATTCAGAAAATTGTGGCAAAGTAAACAGCAACTCACTTTCTATGGCTTTTGTTTGGACCACTCTGAGGTTGGAACAGTTTTGATGGGAAAAGTGGCCCTCCTCTGGCCGTAGTGTGGGCGCCTTTTAGCCCACAAATTCCTGACAACGATTGGACAGGTCAGACTCAGACATCCCACCGGTTTACATAAAACCACTGGTCATGGAAGCTTACTTGCTTAATGTACTCCCGTGATAAACACTAACTTTTTTTAAAGAGTAATGGATGGGTTCTTTGTCCTGATTTGCATGTTGGTTTGCATACAGTGTTTGGATCACATATCCTCTCTCATCTGCCACTTTGGCCAAACACAGAAAACAGATTCTGAGTCAGTGGTGCAAACGGCCCATTTTTCTGGGTTTTGACTCGTAAGTCAGGCGTATTACATCCAGAATGCGTTGCGTTTTGTTCACAGCCGCTATTAACGAGGACAGACTTTTTATTGGCTGGATTTGCTCCAATGACAATCGTTTCTGTTGTGTTTAGTGCCTCCTGTGAGTTTTCAAAAATCTCCTAAAAATCTTGTGTGATATCTAGGAACTAGATATCACACGATATCTAGGAACTATTTTACAAACTTAGAGTTCTGGTCCTGGGTTCCTCAAAGGGAAGGTTGCTTGTATATCAGACAGAATTGCTCAACATCAGTCTTATCGGGAATTATTACAGCCAAGATAACAGTGAAAATAGAGGAAATTTGATTTGGTAAAGCCCTAGTCAGCATTGGCCAATCACGCGGCACAGACCGACGTTGGATGGAGCCCAACGGCGGAGTCATTTACCGGACCAGAAACCAGCACCAGACAGGGATCCCAGTTTAGGTCCCGTCAGTCATCAGGACTGGGACTAACGGAGCAGCTGCAGTCTGAATCAGCTGTGGGGAAACTGTGACTCATTACACTCAGATGGTCACTAAAACTAAAGGTATGCCCGTGTAGCAGATCCTCTGTGTGTCTGGAGACAGACTCACTGAATACCGATGTCTGACCGAACCAAGGGCAGCAACTGACATCATACGTCCACTTAATGTTATTTTAGGGAAGAAACTCACTATTTCAGCGAGTTGAGTAGTTAGTTTATGACTTTTTTCAATGGTAATATTGCAAAAAGTGATTTAGCAAATCCCTGATAAACCATCAAATGAGAACAGAAAGATTTTTGCATTGGCTTTGTTTGCACTGCCACATATTGGATGTTTATTTAGATAACATCATGTTGTTCAGATATCGTTGCACTTGGTTGAAAACTGTCCAGAATGATTGAGTCCATGGGCGGGGTCGCTCACTGAAACGCTCCAAGTAGTGGAGCGCACTTTAGGCTTCCTGACGTCATAGAGGAGCGTGTCTACGCAGTTCAGTCTTATGTTCTTTGTACTCTTTACTCACAGTAAGACTAGCCTTCATAAAACAGTAAGCCAGGTGATATTCTTTGTCAGGAAAGCCCTGTGGAAAGACATGGGGGGGGAAAAAAGGAGTGGTGGCCAACTACGACTAACAATGTGGCGGCTGGTTTTATCCCCAAACTAAATGAGCACGACCCTGAACCTCACATTGATCCTTATATTGGCTGGAGGCAGCTGCAAAAGAGATCGATTTAAGAACCAAAATATACGCAGTAACAGGTTCAGGTTCATATTTTCAGCAGGCAGCAAACACACGTCTTAAAGTTAATTAACTGTTGATTAATTAACAACCTTTTGTAGGCTGTTATGTCTCTGTTTGCTTTTGGTTCTTACCTTGTTCATGAAAAAATAATAAATACAAAAACTCAAGGGATGCTACGATATAATTTAAGATTTTTTAACAAAAACATTCATGTTTTTAGCCAGTATACGCGCTCCATTCTGTGAGGTGTGACTTCAAAGTGTTTTAAGTGTTGAGTTTTGCCTTTTTCCTCCCACTCAGTTGGAAATATCATCTAATCTAAAGTCTGCAACCTCTTTCGAATTACCGTTGTCTATTTGTAGTCTTTCTTATCAAGAAGACAGTTTATACAACTGAAATGATCAATTATTCAATTGACCTCCTTCACAAAGGTGAATATTTAGAACGAATGTGATTGCACAAACACTTTTCTTTTGTGTTTTTTTTTGTAGAATTCTAGGGATCTGTTTATTCCTGAATAATCTGTAACTAAAATATCTCATGAGTTGTCATTGAATGCAACAAAGTTAAAAATTAGCTGCACCTGAAAACCACAACATACAAGTGATATCTAACTAATGATGTAATACAGTGTATAACAGTCACACACTTCATATTTCAATATAAAGGAACATAAAGGATGATAATCACATAGTAGATAGCACTTACTATGTAGTAAAAGTTGTTTTGGGGACCTCTTGGGTGTTTTGATGTAAACCAAAAGTCTTTAAACACTTGCTTCCAGTTGTTTTAGAGACTCAACCATTGACTGGAGACTTGTGTAATCTTTTGACAGAGATATTTGTCAAGTCCCTGAGTCATGCTGACTGCTGACCCACATTCAGAACTTCGTTTGAGGGAAAAGGCAACAAGGAAGTTATAAAAGCGGTAACAAATAAATAAATAAACTGATAAAGGGAAGTGCACGAGGAAGTAACGTGGAAAAAGCAAAAGTCTTCACTGTCTCGTTTTGCTTCGGGTTCACCGACACTTTGACACCTTTTAGTTCCCCACAGATGTAAATGAGTGGTTTAGAGAGCAAAAAGAGGCTCAGGCCGACTAATCTGCTTCGCCTTGCTTGCAGAAAGGAGGCAGCATTTCTCCCCTCGACCCCTCTGGCTCATTTCCTCAAGTATTATCTTTAAGGAGCAGCTTTAGATGAGAAAAAAAAGACAAACCCCAAGACTTTGGTGATTTTACATTGTTGTTTTCTCTCTAAATGTGGACTTCTCCCAACATTTGTGCCCAGTCATGCTCCCATTTCTGCACTTGGGACTATAACATCACCCCTTTTTCCAGAGGTTACCCCCTTTAAACCGCACGAGGGGGTTTCACGACATCTATAACGGTGTTATTTATACATTAAGCACGCGCCTAAGACCGTAATCTGCCCCCTAACGCCGCCGTTTTCCTCTCGGTTGCGCCGCACGGCCGCCGTCGTTAGTTGAGTATTGAGCTACCAGCTGACCTACTTTCTGAGCCCTCAGCCGCTCGCTCCTGTTCACGAGCCGCAAACCGGTCCGGGGATGTGGAGTACCGGAGAATAGACGGACCCCACCGGCAACCGGAAAAAAAAACAGATAAATAGGAGTTGAGGAAGACTCTGGAGAGCGGTCGGTAACGGCGCCTTCATAACTTAGGCGTCGTTATGCAATTTAACATTTAACGCTTTCGGCGCTCGCGCCCGGTGGAGCTCGCCTGCTTATGTTGTAGTTTGAGCAAAAAAAAATGACGACCCCGACCAAAGTTAGGAGGGGATTTTTGTTTCGACAGCACACCCACTCTGCAGGTAGGTGAGATTCACGCTTTCGGTTCGGCGACTCTCTGAATCCACTCGCGAATTGTTATACCTCACACTTCTGCCTCCCGTTCACGTTGATTATATCATCAAAGTTCACGAGTGGCCTCCTTTCTAATTACCGGTGGCCGGACGCGTTATTAGGCATCGCTGAGCGTTTTCCACCGGACCAAACCGTCTTGGCTTGAGGTTTATTTTGTCATATTTAATCATATTCTGGAGGATTTGTGGTGGGAACATTCACCGGGATCTCCTGAACGCTGCTTACATGTTTTCTGCTCGGAGTCGTCAAGTGCCCTGGTAACAAGGTTGAAATAACCTATTTTCTTTTCCGTCGTGCCCGTGCTGATGACATTCGTGGCAAACACTGAAGGGACTTTGGTCAGTGGCTTCTTCTTCAAGATGCCAGATAGGAGGAGGGGGGGGGGGGGTAAAAGAAGTTAAATGTCACATGAAAAGTAATGCGTAAATAATTTCTCTCAACTGGCTGAGGTCAGGCTGATGTTATCCAACCTGGCAGCTTAAAATCTACTGGAGTTCACAGTTTTCCTTTTCACTGGATATTTCGGGCTCCTCATTAGCAGTTGAAAGGGGTTTTTCTTTTGAGACATTTCCACTGTTTAACCACTCCATGCAAGGTTGCACAGCTCCCCAATTACCTTGTACTCAACCAACATACAGGGTGGCTACCGGGTCATCCATTGGCCTGCTTTTCTAGGTGTTTAACCAATGGAAGCGCTTCCTGTTTCCTTATCACTTAAGGGGAGCTTAACTTCCACCATATATCATTACACAGAAAGAAGGGTAATTCCACATGATAAAAAAGTATATTCTCTAATGATACTGGAGCTAATTTGTCTTTTGAAAGTATTAGAATTTGATTAGAAAGTTATATTTGTATAAATGCGTCCCGCAGGTATATAGTTGTGTTCATGGGGCCTAATGTGCTGTTGTAAACAGAAGAACATGTTATTTAATGTTTAACCAACCAAAAAAAACAAAGACATTAATTGTGAGGGAGCTATGATTGTACAAAACATGCAGTCCCAGCTAAAGCAACCCGTATTTGATAAATGTATTCAGACTGTCGCAGAGCTTTTTCCAGGTCCGGTTAGTATTTACCTGACAGCTTGATCTCTGAGCTCTGAACCAGATGCAGGTCCATTTGGTCGGGCAGTGTAAACTCTCAGACGTAAGCACACAGTAGTGGCCCAGACCCCAGACTCTCCAATTGGATTAGCAGGTGTCTTGATCTCGTCTTGCAGTAAGAACCTCTTCCGCTGTTTTGCTGCAATTTCTCAGGTGGTTTTGAAAATGCCGTCTCGGTTCACCAGGTGTCTGACCTGATTTAATTTGCAGTGTGTGAACTTTTATTATTATTACTATTATAAGTAGTCTGTTGGTATTCCAGGATTGCAATCTTTACATGATATGTCAAACAGCTTTTTGAATCACAGATCTTTGATTCATCTGGGTTCATGGTACCGTTATGGTGGTTGCTTTAATGTGGGATTTTCACTGAGGGGCGCATATTTTATCTCACATCTTGACAGAGATCTGAACTTATTTTTTCCAGCATGAACATATTTGTCATCACTGTTTGTTTGACCTTTTAACGGACATTTGTTTTTTTGACTGGTATTTGGAGGCCTGCTCCATCTAAATTTCATTTTGCTGCACAACACAATGAAACAAAAATGTCATCTTCTTTACATCCTACTGTCATTTTGATCCAGTTTCATTCAACAACCTTTTTTGTGAAGATCATGTCTATAATGTAGTACAATAAAAAAAATTCTCTTTAAATTTATAATCACAATTATAACTGGCAAAAGAATTGAAGATTATGATAAAACATTAATTATGTGCAAGAAATTAATAAAAGGCCTCTTATGATACTTGGTTTACCCATTACAGTCAGAATCAACAAATCTTAAAGTAACTCAAACTCTCGCTCTTAAAATGTGTTTTAAATTTGTTTTATTTAGCCGTGCAGTCATTTGCAGAAAAAACAGATTACTGCATATTAGTGCAGAATAGTTTTGATTCTAATCTGCAAATTGTGGACATAATTTCATAGGATGAAAACAATCCTGTCTCTTGTCTAGTTGTGTAGAAATAGAAGTAGGTTTTTGGTCTCCAGTCTTACAGATTAAAGATGAACGGCACCGTTTTGACTTAGTAAACACCATCTGTGTTAAAGCACTTTCATCGAACTGCAAGGTCAAAATCGAGTTCTTGTATAAACGTTCCTTTGTTGTAAATCCATGATTTAGATACATTCACTGTCTGCATCGTGCTCAATATGGACATGTTGTGCACTATATGAAACTCAATCCTTCAGTATCTAGATTGCATCAATGCAGGAAAAGAGTTGATTAAATCTGTACTTAACCACATGTGATTTAAAATCCTTGAAGCTGCAATCTTTTCGAGTTGGCTTTGGCAGTCTCGCTATGCAGGAAGCTCTGATGCCCAAGCAGGTGTTTTGTCTTTGAAAGCCACTGCCCACAATACGTCCTCTACATACCATTCTCAAAGCAATCAGTGGTATGCAAAACAACCTGTTTGGTGTACAGGTGTATTTATCGTTAACTGGATGACACCGATAGAATTTAATCCTGAAAATCTGACTAACAAAATGGCCTATATTCGTGTTTTTTATTCTTATCAAAGTCATTGCTGGTTCTAAATGGCAACTTACAGATTTTTTCTTAAAAAGGCCAAAGTATGTCAAGAAATTTCTTCAAGATTTGGGACTGAACCACAAGATGTGTTCGGTGAAATTGAAGAGATTCAAATGAACGGAATTGATCATTACAAAAGTAGAATTTAGTAAAATTGATTTGAAGAGTTTCACTCTGTGAAGAAAGGAAAAACTTTGGAGGAAACAGGAGTGACTTCCTGTCCGTTTAAGTTGAGCTGAAGAAGCCTCTGGCTGAAGACAGTTATTTAAGCCATGATGCAGAGGATGGGCAGTGCTCTCCGTTACAGAGAGAGCAGCTTTTTTCCAGTTGAGCATCAACCAGAGACTTCAGTCAGGCATCTTTTCTCACACGTGTTCGTAAATGTTCGGAAAAAGCGAGTTATGTGGACACGAATGTCCAGGACACTCGCTCTGGTCCTCTGTGTTTACTGCCTTCATACGTGCACTTTTTCTTTTCTTTCCCTGTCCTGAGAGCTTGACTCGAGTCAGAAATAGACTAAATGATGTCAGCGCTATACAGTGATGTTTGACTTTGGATCACGGTGTGTTTTTTTAAGATGTATAGTTGAAGTGTTTGGAATGTACTTCTTTATGTAATAATCTACGTGGAATGCCGTTTGGCTCGGTTATTCCAAGAAAACCAGCAGGATGTACACTGTGTTTCCTTTCGGGAATACTATGTCCAATAACAAAGTTATGGATTGCCGCTGTCAGACTGTCATTGCCTTTAACATATAGGACGGTCGTTAACTTATAGTTAAAGGCTTTAAATACCCAAAGGCACGAGTGTAACCTGACTCTGATGTTTTTTCACTGTTAACCTCGCAAGGTGTGGTTTAACCTCAATACAGTGAAAGAATTTTGTGGTGTTGTTTTACCTGTAACTCTGCAGATTCAAATCAGCAGAATGCGATTCAAACTAAAGTAAAGCGTCTCCTTTTTTATTCTATTATCTCAGTTAATTGATTCATGTCGCTCCAGTTGGAGTTTTTGCTCCTCAGACATGGCTTTTACATCTGGAAATTAGGATTATGATAGCATTTTTTCATTTGTGTTTGTGAAATTGATTTTTTTGTCTGCAGTGAGAGCAGAAATGTTGAGTACTTCTGTCCAATTAAAAAAAAAAGAATCTAAAAATGTTATTAGCTTGCTCATTGTCGGAGAGCACTCCAGTTTCCTACAGCTGTTAACCCGATTTCTCCTGTTTTTGTGGATTTGGCTGAAAAGAAAACACGTCAATGGAAATCTGTGTTGCTGTTGAATTGGCCAGATCTTCTTACCCTGTACCCTCAATCTAAGGTGACAGCATGTGCATCATTGAGGGGGTGTGAAATTACAGAGAAACGTTCAAACTTAAATGTATGTATGATAAACGTATGCATGGTCAGCTTCAAGAAATATGAGACCAACTTGTCAAAATGATTACTTGTCAGCAATTGAAAGGGGGGTTGAGATGTGTGCTTGGCTTAAATGCATTTGAGGAAAATATAAATTCCTGTTTTAGAGATTCTTATCCAGCAATCTTCAATGTTTTCAGATCCTGATTGGGTCGGATTATGCAACGTGAAAACATGAATTTTTGATAAACTGTTATTGATGTTTACCCTGATCAGTGAGTTTCTAAAATCGGTGGACTGACACCGTCTTTTTCCTTAGATATGTTTGTCTCCTTAGAAATGCAAGTAGCGAGTCTTTTTCTATTTATTTGAATAATGATCTGGAGGCCTTGGCTGAGGCAATTCGCTGAACAAATGCTGATGCTGAGTGCTTGAACTGGAATAGCCCACAGCGTGTAATTAAAAATTGAGAATAATTGATATGTGGTGTTATTTGTCTACAGGTTGCAACACCGTGTTTTATTTTAATAAAGGAGAAAAGGTGTAGTTTTACCACTGGAAAACAACCAGCGCTTTGAGTAAGATAGTTACTATTTAATAATGTCGGAATAGTATAGCATCTAGGTCTAGTTGACCAATTAAAAAACCATAATGATTTGAGGTATTGATCATTTGCAGCTGGTCAAGCCCCATTTTCTTTTCAGAGATTTCTTCATATTGTTTGTGCTTCCATACACAAAGCAGGTGAAGAAGGTGGCTGTGTTTTGTGCTGGTTATTGCAGGAGGTGTCTGCCTCCAGCAGCTTTCTAGGTCAGGGGAGCTCCTCCTGTGCAAAAACACTTATTTAGTAATGAAGTACTGCAACCAGGTGAACATGCTTAATTTACTCGACATTGCATTATTTATGCTTCTGCAGCAAAACACATTAAATAGAACGACTCTGTTGTTTCAACATACATTCGTACTGTTGGCGTTTCTACGGAGACAGAGTTACTGTGATTTATCACCACACTGGACTGATATAAAACCTTCAGACTGATTGTGAGAGGAAGACTGTTAGCCAGACTAAAGATATAACACCAAAATATTTAGTTTACTTTTAAAATTAGTATATTTTCATAGATCCAATGACACCGAGCCAATGAGCAGCTTTGTGGTCAGACGTGTTTCCTCTTACATGGTTAATTTAGAGAGTAAAAGTTTGTATCCATGTGTTTAGTTTTGTAAATTGTGAATATTGTTGAGTTGTTATAGATCAACTTCCCATGGCTGTTATTAGACGGAGGTTTTGGTAAATCTCATAGGAATATGTCAAAGATAAGTCAGAAATAAGAAAGTGTGATATAACCATAGTCTTTCCTTATTGAGGAAAATATCAAGCCAAAGATCAGCCTGAGCTGGTAGAAATGTCAAGATGCAATTCTTCACTGTACAGTCAACCTAAGGTGCACACCACAGGTCACGTTTGAAATAACAAAGGCTTTGTTAGACTTTGCTGTAAATCATCTAAATAAGAAGTCTGTCAATCATAGCAAAAAGTGAACAGACAAAACCTTGACCTGCTCGTCCCGAAATGTCTGAAGACTTTGTGAATCAATTCTGAATTGTATACAGTCAAAAACTGACACTGATGGACATGGATGGATGATAACACGTAGCTGTAGCAACCCAAGAGCTTGTTAGGGCAAATAAATGGATTTCATCACCTGAACTTAACATAGCTGAGCATTTCTATTTATAAACTGAAGACAAAATAAGTAATAAGTGAGGGCAGAGCCCCGAAAGCTCCAAACTATTTGTTCTTGTGTGAGTTCCAGGTTACAAGCCGTTCTTTACTGGAAGAGTGAAATAGTTTTATTTCTAAATAGCTCAAATTGAGTCTTAATCAGTGGTTGTGTTAAATGTGTCTGTACTTTAATCCCAATTCGATCTCCTGACTTAACATCTACAGATGTAAAACCATTTGTGGATCTTAGAGCTACTTCCACTTTGAAGATAATTTTTTGTAATTTTGCCATAGCCATGGTCTCTTCAAATAACATTCATGAACAAATAATGACCATTAATCAAGATGCTCTCTTTGCTGAAGCTGTAATCTGTCCTCTTTATCTTCACAGGATTTCTTGTTTCTTTGCTGGAATTGTGGACGTGGGCAACTGGATCCGGGTAGATTTTTTTGAAGAGAGAGCTCAGACCAGGTCAGCGCGGATGGGACTTAAAAGACTTCAGAAAGGGCCTGGTTGGGAGAAGGAGTGAGTATGGACAACCTGTCTGACTTTGGTGGCCCGTGTCCATCAGCCAGCAGGGAATGGGAGTGAGTATCAACTTCAGTTTATGGTCTTACACAGTTATACTCCATAAACGTTACCTGATACCTCCTTCAGACTGAACACTGCAAAACTGATCTCCAATATGTCATTAAGTATTTTCGTCCTCTGTTTTCAGTCACCTTCACTGATGGTTAAACTTTAAAATTGAAATATAATTAAGTGTTCCTCAATAGGAGAATTTTCTTAGTTAGAAACACTTAATTAAAGTAACATTTTTCACTTTCTTAATGTCACAAAAGTAGTGTGACATTTAGCTTTCATTGAATAATGACAGAACCATTACAGGAAAAAACAAAAACAAAAACAAATCATAAATCAAACTTTCTCCCATGTGACTCGGAAGATAATGCTTTGGTGATCAGTTTTGCTCTTAAATGTCTAAATTCTTTTGCATTTCTTTATTATTAGTCCTTTATTATTTTAGATTAAAAAAAAATTCTAATATATCAATGGTTGCGATCTTTTATTTCTTCATAAGTCAGGCACCATGGAGGCTTTATTAAAATGGTTTAAACACATTGGCCTTCTCACGACTTATTATGGGTGAATCTGAATCGAAACATCAGGAATTGGTCAAAAAAGTGTCTGAAACATAGTTGCCCTGTCACAGCTGCATTATCAAGGCTGTAGTCATGTGCAGAACATAGCAAACCCAAAGTTTAAGTCGTTGGGACTTGATAGAAAGACAGCTGACACTTACCAGGAACTGAAAAGCAAGTAAAACATTGAGTGAACAACACGTAATATTTCACACTATCATAATATATTAAATCAGCCTTGAGCCACAATGCAAGAAGCAGCATGTGTTATTTCTGTCTCCATATTAATTAAGAAGGTAGGGAGCAGTCAGTCGCTGTTAATCAAATGTTGAAGAATAATTGATCATCAGTAAGTGTGAACACCTCCAAAAACAGCTAAACTTTCAGCAACCTGCTGGTCTGGAGGCTAACAAGGAAAAACAATAGGCTCAATGCTGCTAAAGAATACATTATTGCAGCCCATAATTCATAAAGGGTTATGGGGCCTTATTCAACATGTTTGCAGCCCGCCTCACTAAAGAAGGACAGATTGTTCACACGCTGCAAACGTCAGGCAGCTGTCACAGGACTTAGTAGGACAGAATGTCCCAGCAGGTTCACCCAAAGGTTAAAGCATGCTCCGCTATGAGGAGCTTTTAGTGCTGAACCTCACACTTTCCAGGTTTAGGTTAGCTTGTTAGATGTCAAGTTAATGACAGCACAGTGAGAAAATACACTGAACAAGTTTGATTTGACGGTTTGAATGTTTAGATCTGAGAAAAATACAGGGTGTGTTGCACTTGAGTTGAGTCGAGGTCCATTTACAGCTTGGCTGCCATTAACTGGACCACCAGCCTTTTTGCAGATTAAATGCAGAGACCGGTAACCTAGTAACTCAAGTTACTCAATGATTACATAAATCTTTGTTTATAGAAATAATTAGAATTGTTTTATATTTACATTCATCCAATCTTCAAAGCATATAGATGGAGGGCTGATAATTAGGGCTTGTTTTACAACCTGTGGATCGGGATACCTTACAATCAGCAGGTGGACCATAAACGGATCCGAGCCCCAATGTGCTCCAGAGTTAAATCTTTTCCTATATGTCTGACAGCCAAAGCTTTGCTGAAATTGGGTCATACAACAGGACTATGATCCCAAACACCAGTAAATCTACAACAGAATGTCTGAAAAAGAAAAGAATCAAGGTGTTTCAATGCTCCAGTCAAAGTCCAGACCTCAGCCTGGTCCTTTAGGAGATCTGTGAATTAAACAAATACCCACAGACCCCATTCAGTAAAAAAAAAAAAGGATGAAAAGAAAAGTGGGCTTGGAAGCCCTATGTGAATACGTAACAGAGGAGATTACTTTAATTTTTTGCTCCTAAATGTTTGTTTTTTATTTAAATATTTGGTTAATTTTAGTTCAGTTATGAAAGTGTTATATGTCATGTGATATTGTTTCCATTAGGTTATTTATACCCTCGCTTAAGGCCAGGGGGACCCAATTTAGACCAGATTACTGTTTCATTTTCAGTAATTACTATAAGTAAATATGAAACCACACTAGTCACACTATTCAAACTAAATGTATAACGCCAAAATATTGCTATTGACAAGTTGACCCTATAGGACAGTAACCCATGAAAATAAAACGAAGCTCAGCTGGGTTTGCAGGTTACACTAAAATAATTATTCCAACAACAGTGGAAAGTGTGTTGATTGTCAACAGCTTGAATTTATCTTCTTTCTTGTTTTTAAATTGATACGAGAACATATCTAGTGGCAGTGGATATGTTCAGCCATGTGTAGTTTCTCACATGTCACATTAAACTTGGCTGGAGCTATTGAACACTCTGAGAGCTGTGAGGGAATCACAATACCTTTTTCTTTCTTGTTGCAGTTGTGTTGACATTTGGCTCATTACTAGATCCAGTGTCCACCAGTGGAAATGGCTAAATTTAATTTAAATACTGACACGTTTCCCAGACTCACACTTTAAACAGAATGGTCGTTTTTTATATCGTGATGTTTCTAATATGCAGCACTGTTATCTTCAAATGATCAAATAACCGCATTCTAATCTCTGCTTTTCTGTTTTTAGTACCAACAGCTGTGTGGAAGATTTAATGGACGAAGATGAGAAGGACAGGGCAAAAAGGTACGCAAACCTGAGTTCATCTGGTCAAGTTTTAGGTGTTAACAATGCTTACCCAGTGTGCTAAACTAATTATAAGTGACTCTTCAGACCTTATGTCTGTTTTCATGCACATTTTCCAACCACATGATATTAATTTGTGTTATGAGTGAGAGTGTGGCCTGAAGTTAGTAACAGACTATTATAATCCATAAAGACTGGGCTGTGTTTTTGCTGGTGGGCACCTCAGGTCTGACTGGGTTAGAAAGAAATTAGTAAGGTAGAGAAATAGTAGGTAAAAACAACATTTATCTTGGGTGAAATTGGCTAAAGAGATGTGTCAGTGCCAGTTTTTCAGGTTCATTTTAAAGGAAGTGTAAATAAAACTCTAAAGGCCTTTAATGGCTTTTGGACGAGGATCTGAAAGTCAAACTGTGGAGAAACAATAACATCAGACAACAAGCAATCAAAACCTCTTGATGCACAAAATGAGAATAGAAAAATCACTGAGAAAAAGAGGATGATTCATTGAAACTTTTAGAAAATAATGACCTCACAGCTATCAGTGCTCCATTTATCTTCAGAGCCACATTCATCTCCTGAACCATACCTGGGGTTTCGAGCGGGACAAAACTTATTGTGAACTTTATTCTTCAGTCTGGAGCCTCACAAAACTACAGAATGTAGTCGGTGCATACACTACTAGCTTGGTTTATCATTTTTTCAATCTTTTTACCTTCATAGGGCGTCCCGAAACAAATCAGAAAAGAAAAGAAGAGACCAATTCAATGTGCTCATCAAAGAGCTTTGCACAATGCTGCAGGGTCAAGGCCATCCACGCAAGATGGATAAGTCCACCATACTGCAAAGGACTATCGACTTCTTACAGAAGCAGAAAGGTAGCAAACTGTTAGGGCATCATTTTGTTTAATGCCACCCATTTTGAACTCCTGATTTTCAACTTTTTGTTTTAACCCTCCTCAGACATTACTGCACAGAATGAAGTTTGCGACGTCCGGCAGGACTGGAAGCCCTCATTCCTCAGTAATGAGGAGTTCACACAGCTGATGCTGGAGGTAAAGTTCAGGAGGACGTGTTTGTCGAATAAATAATTTAGTTGTGATATGTAATCATAGAAATGTAATATGTGATAACTTGAATAGCTACAGCAAGCTGGAAAAGAAAACACGTTGGGCAAGAAATATGTCATTTTTGCATCCAAATAACATTTTTCCTGGTTGTTAAATCATATATTAGCTTCTGTTTGTCATGAAAACATTGCAGGAGAATCAGGAACTGTTGAAGCTTATTGTGTTAAGAGCGGCACTTCCCCGAGGCCAACTCTTCTTTTTTCATTTTAAATTAAATTCTGGATTTCATTTAGTCCTTATCCCCTTGTTTTTCCTCTTCACTAGACTTCATGTAATTTTGCTCTGTAGTATTTGTTGCTGACAGCCCTACCTTACAGACCTTTTGTAACTAACTTGTTACAGGCCCTGGACGGTTTCCTGATCGCATTAACTACAGATGGAAACATCATATACGTATCTGACAGTGTATCTTCACTTATTGGCCATTTACCGGTAAGCGACAGGTCTCCGATTATTGACTATTAACATTACATTGATATGATAGTTGTAGCTGTACAAAATAAGGCAGGACAATATTTTAAAACCCTTCGGAAAATTGATAAATGGTGAAACACTCAACAATATGGGTGGATTGTCATATAGAGGACTGACCATCCTTCATTTCTCTTCATGCATCAGTCAGATATGGTGGACCAAAATATCTTGAATTTCCTCCCGGAGCGGGAACACGGGGAGGTGTACAAACTGCTATCATCCCACATGCTGATGACTGACCCCATTGCTGCTGACTTCCTTGAAAGTGAGTATCCCGCTGAGCGGCCTCCCGGCACGCACGCTGTCTGGGTCATCGTGTTGGAGCAGGGCGGAAGTGGAAAGGTTAAAGCCTATAGATTGTCTCCCATTTCAGGAGATCAAAACTTTCATCTCAGAGAGGAACATAACTGTTCTATATTTCTCTCTGAGGATTTCTGACCTGCGACTCAGGTCAGGTCAGACATTGGACTAGTGGGTGTGTGTAAGGTCTTTATCTAGAATTAAAAACTACATGTAATTCTTGACGATTTACATTTTTTTCACATTACCTTAAGAGAATATTATGACTGAACTGAATATAGATAGAGTTGCTGCTCGGGAGACTTAAGTTTATTGGATTGCTGATTTGTGTGTTTCTTTGATTAGACTTTTGGCTAATAATAGGAGGTGGCTTAGTATCATAGTTAAGCCTTCAAGTCACTGTTATGTTAACTCAGTAATCCAAAGCAATGTAGAATGGGAAGCTCAAGACACTGACCTTAATCCTGTGATTCTGCCGGGCTTTTCTGGGGAAGAGAGAGCGTGAGTTACCATTTTCTTGGGCTAATCTGAGAGGCCTTAATAGCAAACTGTCACAAAGCCATGTCTGGTTTGAGCATCATCTTTGTCAACAGGATTCCTCTCCCAGAAATTAAATTTGATTTCAGGTGTGTGATGAAATAACACATTTTCCCACTACGTTACCTTGGCCTTTCCTCTAAGAAATAGATAACTGAGCTCCTCTGTGGAAGAGATAACCTCTGACAGATGTTTAACTCAGCAGATTTTCAGGACTTCAGGTGCTGAGGACACAATGTACATAATGCAGTTAATGCTGAGAAACAGCCGAAGTCCACTCAATATGTTGACAGACTATGACTCCCAGTGGTTGTCAAAGAGATATAAAACGTATAAAAGCATACAACTGCTGTGTTTATTAACAAACTCCATCCATTGTAACAGCTATTTTAATCATGAATCCTTATCAGAATCATCTCATGAATCTCATGAATGTTTACTTTTTATTTTTATGTAGGTATGCTACACTGTTTTTAGGGGTGTTTAGGGTCTAACCAGCTTAATATGTTTTTTAGGTGAGGCACATATTGAGTTTTGCTGTCATCTAGCCAGAGCAAACATAGACCCAAAGGAGCCACCTGTTTATGAGTATGTCAAGTTTGTCGGGGACTTCAAATTTCATAACAATGGTAAGACACCCCCCCCCCTCTCCTCCGCCCTTTAAAAAAAAGAGAAAAAAATAAATTCCTCTGTGAAATCCAATCCTCTTAATTATGCAAGATGGTATCAAGCTGCATTAAAACAGGATTGTGCCTGATGTTCGTCACACAGTGCCTACATCTTCTTGTAACGGGCTCGAACTGACGTTACCCAGAAGTCTGCAGTCATCGCTGGAGGAGCAGGTCTGCCTCATCGCCACTGTTCGACTCGTCACGCCACAGTTTTTGAAGGTACATCCTCTTTTACGGTTCAGACTTGTGCCTTTGATTGTCAGCTTTGGTTTTTTTCTGTGCAGTGAAGCTATGGGCTCTGAGGAGGGACACAGTCTCCATAGAAACGATATAATCAAAAGTGGTTGCACATTTTGGTTGTTACTAGCTCCTCTTTGTCATTGTGTCCACCTTCCAGCTGATCACATATTTAGCATACGTCTGATTTAAAAAGGTTTTAAAAAGGAGTTGAAGTCTACCTGAGGTCTGAACAGCTCAGTGTTTTATATTAAGTGCTGTCCTTTTTATAACTCAACAGGGGAGCTATACATCTGAAACATCATTTCAATCGCAGCGACGGCTAAACCCAGATTAACTTCTGTCTGCATTTATGAGAGTGCACTTTATGAATTTTTCATACAAGAAACTACTTCCATTAAAATCCTGTTCAGAAGAACCAGATACACAAGACACACTTTAAATCTCCCCCAGTCATTATTCCCCTTTTATTTTCCAGATAAAATTGCAGCAGCAATAACTTCCCGAACAAACATGGAAAACATTTCCCTCGGGTTCTTGGACACCAAATATAATTTACAAAACCCTTCTTCTCTTTCCTCCCTGTCATTTCAACACTGCCGGTTTTCCTGACAGGCTCATTTCAGATGTCATTCGACACTTTCATTCACAATTTACTTCTTCGTTCAAGAGAACAGTCGCTGTACTCCGAGCACTCAATCTGTCTGACTTGACACAAAAATGATCACATGCTGACTGAGTGTTACCACTTTCCTTCTGCACATTGCTGTATTTCTAAATAAATCTGTGCTGGTATGAGCAGCATCTCCACTGTAAAAAGAACGTCTGGAGAAAAGCTCTACTGTCACCATATATTCTTTAATTTTAGCACCAAATGAGTCAATACAAAATAATTAAGCTGTAATATCCTGATCAAGTCTGTCTCCTTAAGCTCCTGTATTTTTTTGTTTAGGATTTGTGTAATGTGGAAGATCCTTGTGATGAATTCACATCCAGACACAGCCTTGAATGGAAGTTCCTCTTTTTAGATCACAGGTAAAAACATTTTTTACGCTCTTGACAATCGTCAGTAAAGGTTTTTTAGCAGGAAGCTGTTTATTATCATACATGCTCATGCTCATGATATTTTTTCTTTCAGAGCTTCACCCATCATAGGTTATTTACCTTTTGAAGTTCTTGGAACCTCTGGCTATGATTACTATCACGTGGATGATTTGGAGCTCATAGCTCAGTGTCATAAGCAGTGTAAGAAAACCTACTTTTCCCTCCATTTTTTTTAGCCCTGTGTAAATTAAACCGGTATGCAAAATAAATAGAAGTGGTTTTTGAATGCAGCACTTTCTTTCTTCTTTTTTCAGTAATGCAGTTTGGAAAGGGTAAATCTTGCTATTATCGCTTCCTGACCAAAGGGCAGCAGTGGATCTGGCTGCAGACCCACTACTACATCACCTACCACCAGTGGAACTCAAAGCCCGAGTTCATCGTCTGCACTCACACCGTCGTCAGGTGAGCGCTCCCTTCGTCTGCATCTTTTAGGAGGGATGCGAATATCCACTGCTGCAGGGATAGAAAAATATAAACGTAACCCATAACTTTTGGACTGTTGAGTTCTGTTCTTGTCGTGGGTTGTATGTAAATGAAATTTCGTTCTGTGTGCACTCCGTGCATGCAAAATGACAGTAAAAGTTGTCTAATCTAATCTAATCTAATCTAATCTAATCTAATCTAACTCTTTGGGGCTGTTTTCCAGTTATGCTGAAGTGCGAGCAGAGCGGAGGAGAGCTTTCGGACTTGAGGAGCTTTCTCCACCAGAGATCGCCCCCTCTTCTGTCAAGGTAAGAGCCCTACAGCATGGAGAGTGACATGTCACGCTTCTAACTCTCTGTTTCCAGGTCACTTTGGATCTGTTAACACACACTTTTTCTCTGTGTCCCAGGCTCAGGAGCTGTACTTGGACATCTGCTCCCAGCTGGACACTCCCAGGGACAGAAACAGCGGCGCACGTTCGGTGTCCTCCCACAGCTCCCGGAAGTCCTCCCACACAGCCCTGTCCGACTCTGCATGTGAGTCATCCTCCGCTTACTTAGGTGCTAACTCACTCAGCAGTAAGTAATTATGTAAAGATATCTTGCTCATGAAGGGTCTATTAGATTAAAATCTGGCGTAAAATGGTTTCCTTCCCTTTAGTTTCTATGACCCCCCAAATTGATTCTTTGTTATGTAATCTGAAAAAACTTTGTAGTCAGTGGTAAAACACCTGTAAATAAGGAAGCAGTAGTGTTACAACACCCACTGACAGCATCTATGATGAAAGGTTTTCGGTTGTAACTTTAAAACATCTTGTTAGCTTTAGCCCCCATTTCCTCCTAACCAGCTCCCACCCACCATGTAGTTATCTGAACCAGCAGCAGCATCATTAGAGTTTTCAAAAAGTGAACAGCATTCTGCAGCCCTCATTTAAATCATACAAATTAATTCCATTTTTTTAAAAACATACATTGAAAACTGCACATTCAGAACAATTCTTACTTTTTCATTTTGTGTGGGATACAGAAATAAATCTGTGGCCGAATAAAAGGGTAGTCAATGGCGTGTGAATCAGCCGTGTGGTTATATAACCAAAGATGAAACGGATCTCATAAGGTGTTCTTATCAGAACATTTCATAGCTCCCTTTTAAGTAACAGACACTAATTATTTTTTTAAATATACAGAGAATTTCAACTGAATTTAACCTAGTGGTCTCTAATAAACTAGCAGGCTGAAAAAGGTGGCGTCATTAATGTGTTATGGGACATATTGATGGAAAACTTATCAATGGTATTGTTGAGATAGGATTATGAAATGTCACAGGTTTATTTTCAGCCCAGAGTTGTATTATTTGCTTTTGCTAGGATTTTGTTTAGACAAAACGAGGAAAGAACTGTGGGGTAAATTATTCTCCAGCAGATCAAAACTATATAAAATCAGGTCAAGGTGTCTGTTCTGGCCAGTGCAAAAATTATGTCCGTGCTTCCTTGACTTCTTTTTGACTGTTTTACTCATTTTGAAGTTATTACATCAACTTTCCAGCCTCTGTTGTGCGGGAAAAAAATCCATGAAAACACAAAATCCCAAAGTAGACTCCCCTTTCTGTACCCCGGGTGAGCTTTCTCAAGCCCAATATACTTCCCCTAAAAGGCAGCATCGTACAATAAACACAAAATCTGCCTTCTGTTATTAACGAAGAAGAATCTATATTTACCTTTGCTGTCGATATAAGTTCTCAATCAAAACGTTGATAGGAATCTAGCGGAGCTTCTCCTGAGTCGGTGTGTTTAAATGCCCTGTCTCCCCTTCAGCGGTGAACTCGTACACAGAGGCCTGCACGCCTTCATGGCAGTCGGCCGCCGTCGGACAGGAGAAGATGTCTAACAGACACCAGCCCGGCGGTTCAAAGGTGGGTTTACACCGCGTGTCTTTATGTGTTTATCTGCGGAGATAAAACCATCAGTGATGCTAAACTGTTGTGCTTCTCCATTTTTCCGTGTAGAATTTGGCACAAAGACAAAATTCCTTTGACCTTGTTTCCCAAATGAGCCTCCCCCTTTCTCCTACCTGCAGCAAACACTCCACAATGGTTAGTGTTTAGTCTTCCTCTCCCGCCTGTCGTCTTCCTCTCTTTGGTTTGTGTGCAGTACCTTTCTGTACTTTCTGTATATGTGTTGATTTCATATGCATGTATGGATCCACCTGGCCTGGTCAAAGGATTATGGTTTGATTATGATTCTGAATTGTTTCTTTTTTATTGTAGATTTTACATAAAACTTGTGCATTTCTTGGTCAAACCAGCCATCCAGATTCCTTTTGAATTGCAAATCCAGCTGGACAGAATATTTACAAAGATTTTGCAGTCATCTTGATTGAAGGGACATATCTGAACATAGATTAAATGAATAACGCTAACTAACGCTGTTTTTTTCTCTGTTGACAGCAATCACAACAGTCCCAGCAGACGCAGTCCTCCATGTACCAGCTGCAGCAGCCTCAGCTCAGCGTGATGAACCAGCTGAAGGAGCAGCTGGAGGAGAGGACGCGCATTCTGCAGGCCGACATTAAGACGCAGCAACAGGAGCTGCACGACATCAAGGAGAAGCTTCATCTCGCTAATCTACAGGTAGCTTTATGGCTAAACAACAAAAAGAAGACCTCTCTGGCCATTGTTATATCTAAATGATTTATCAGTGATCATTATTGGTAAATAAATACATGTATTATTAATTATCAGTATATTTACTTTGATCACCAACTGCAAAGGTGATGGTTAAATGTCCCCACCTAGAGGCCAAAACAAGCCACTACACGGCACAACTGCCAGTGCTTTAGGGCTTATTTATTTAGGTCAAATTCTCTCTCAGCTTCAAACCATTTCACTGTAACTGCAAAGGTAAGAGGTCTAAAGCCACATATGAACTGTTTTTTTTATTTATCAATTGCTTTAAACAAAACTCATTTATTTGTGTCACCTGTTTTTCTTTATGCCTTCTACGAGATTTTGATGGAAAAAACGAATGATTCAAGTCAATTAATGTTTCATTACTTTTATTTGTGTCACCTGTTTTTCTTTATGTCTTCCATGAGATTTTGATGGAAAAAACGAATGATTCAAGGCTATTAATGTTTCTGTGTCTGCATGTTAGATGTTGTTACAGCAGCCAATCCACAATAACGAGTTTGGCCAGGCCCAGCCTCCTCAGCAGCAGGGACCCGGGAGACCGGCCCCGCAGAGCCAGTCAGGAGTCATCAGGCAGCCGTCTGGCCACCCAAAACCAGCCGCCTGTGGGGCCCATAGCTCCTCCCCTCACTCTGTACACAGAGAAAACAGCTCACCATCAACGCAGGTACGAGACTGAACAAGTCTATGTTTATGTTTATGTTTATGTTTATGTTTATGCATTTGGCAGACGCTTTTATCCAAAGCGACTCACAGAGTAGACACAATATTACATTTATCATCACTATGACAATAAGCTTCACAGAGGAGAAACACTGATCAGAGTCAGTGGTGAGATGGAGATAGAGGTAGAGGGACTACAGAAGGAGCTGTGGGGGGGATAGAGGTACGAGTGAGGGTTAGGATAGGAGCTGTGGGGGGGTGGAGGTACGGGTTAGGGTTAGGATAGGAGCTGTGGGGGGGTAGAGGTACGGGTTAGGGTTAGGATAGGAGATGCTCTTTAAAGAGGGGGGTCTTCAAGAGTTTCTTGAAGACAGACAGGGACTCTGCTGTTCTTGTGGCTAATATTCCAGTTCATAAGTCGGGCACAGATATGGAAACATTTGGATTAAGTAACATTTAACCTTGTAATGCCAAATGTATCATATTTGATTCATACGGTTTCTGAAATGTTTTGTGTCTGACACCTTTTGCATAATTTAATGGTAAAAACTTTGCTCAAAATCCTATTGTACACAATCAGATACACCTGATAACAGGGGGCAGAAGACTACACAAAAGATAATCTTGACTTATCACATAGTAATAAATGATTAATATTGAAAAAAAAAAATTGTTTTTTCTTTTTACATATTTTGTTAAAAGGCCAAATAAGGAATTCAAACCAAAAAAAAGGAATTTTCTGTTTTGTTTTATTCTTGGATCAGGCTTTAAAGGGTTAAATGTGTTAGTTTCACAATTTTTTTAGGATGTGACGTTCATTTTGAATCCCTAGTTGTCCATCATTTTATTCATGTTTCTCACATGAACACACATTTTTTATGAAGTTATCCAAAAAATGAAGTTGAGGCTGAGTGTTTGATTCGCCCTGTCGCAGGTCCAGCAGCGGATTGCTCGGAGTGGGCCGGCCCAGTCGGTGAGTTTGCCCGTGCAGACCAACACAAGTCTGACGATGCCTTTCTACAGCAACCCTATGATGTTCTCTCAGACTAACACCAGGCCTCAGCAGGAGGCCAACCAAAGACACACCGACACCCAGCTCAGCCAGGACGGACAGTTGCGGTAAGAATCCCGACAAAAAACACACAAAAAAACATCCTTTTTGCGCCACACACAAACTTCCTCCTCTGACAGACGCTTTCTCCTGCAGAATGCTCCTGAACCAGCCGATGCAAACGTTAGTTCCCACTAGCAGCGTCACCTCTCAGCCTTCCCAGTGCAACATGGGCATCTCCCAAACCCTGTAAGCCGCCAGACTCCACTCCAAAACCGTTTCTGTCTCAAACCGGGCCTAAACTAAACTCTTCCCTCTGCCCCCCCCCCCCTACAGATACACCCTGGCCCAGCCCCTCATCGCCCCCCCCTTCTCCGTGCAGCAGGTCAACTGTAACGCCGTCCTGGTGCCCTCGCCCGTCTTCACGTCGCCCATCATGATCCCACACAACAGCTTCATCACGCACCAGTCCCAGTCGGCCTACCACGGCCCGCCCCAGAACTCCCAGCATGCCCTGCAGCTGCAGCAGCCGCAGCAGTTCTTTCAGGTACCAAATCCCCCAAACGGATGGTTAGATTGCTCCTTATTCATCGAGTCACGCGTCATCTCCTGTTCCTCTAACGTTAAATCAGTAGCAGAAAAACTGCAGCAACTCCTCGTAAAGAGTTGTGTTAGTTTTGTTTATTATAACATATTCAATATCATGTTTTCTCCGTAATTACCAAATATTTGATCTCAAATTTTCTCCGTAATTACCAAATATTTAATCTAATTTTTTCTCCGTAATTACCGAATATTTGATCTCAAATTTTCTCCGTAATTACCAAATATTTTATCTAATTTTTTCTCCGTAATTACCAAATATTTGATCTCAAGTTTTCTCCATAATTACCAAATATTTAATCTCAAGTTTTCTCCGTAATTACTAAATATTTGATCTCCTCGTAATGAGTTGTGTTAGTTTTGTTTAGATAATTTATTATAACATATTTGGTCTCATGTTTTCTCCGTAATTACCAAATATTTATCTTATGTTCTGCTCCTTGATTACCATATAAGTTCTTCCACCATTTTCCTGGAACAGTCGGGCATCTCTGTTCCAACTTCAGTCAGAGGGATCCTGCTATTTCCATCCATGAAAGATATTAAACATTTCTGTGTGTTTTGCTCGTAATAGCGATCTGGTGTATTGTGGGATTATTTTAAATCCACATTTATGGCTATTTGTGAAATGCATGCTCCTTTATGAGCATTCGGGATTAGTAATAACGGTAACATTGGGTTCACTCAAACTGTTTCCAGTTGGTTCAGACAAAAAAATAATACTCTGGGATTGACTCTGCGTTCATACAACAAAAGTCGTTGCTAGTGATTATATGAAAAACCTGAACAACTCTACTAAATGTTGGAAATGATTGTGTTTTCTATTTTCCAACAAGTACTTTTGTTCCACTTAACCCTTTAAAGCCTGATCCAAGAAAAAATAGGAAGAATATTGGACTTTTTTAGTCTGAAGTCTTTCTTTGGCCCCTCAACAACATTTGAAGGAAAGAAAATGAAATTATTTTGATCAAATTAGCGTGCAATAAGTCAAAAATATATTTTTGTGTAGTTTTCTACTGGCTGTTATCAGGTATATCTGAATGTGTACAACAGGGGTTTGAGCAAAGCTTTTACCACTGATTTGATGCAAAAAGTCTCAGATCCAAAAGACTTCAGAAACCGTATCTATCAAATATGATACATTTGGCATTATAGGGTTAAAGAGAATAAAAGAATAACCAGGACACAATGCCACTAGTACTGAAAGCTTTAGTCATTCTATTGCTTTTGGTTTTGGTCGATTTTTGAGTTGATCTTTGATACCAAAGAGAAATCCCTCCGTGTGCCAGAGGCCTTATAGATTCATGAAGCTTTGCTGAACTTGGATTATAAAAAGTCTCTTGATGAAATGGAGCTTCTTTTTTAATCCAAGCCCCTCTTTCCCCGACTGCTGTCCTATTTCCAGATTTTCTGTGGTGGCTAAAATATCTGAATCGGTCAGGCCTCGGGTCAGATCAAACTCTGTACATTACCTCTAACATTTTCTTCTTTAAGCCTCTTTCAAATGGCTCTGAATTTGTTCAGAAGTGATCTTTCCAAAATTATTAAAAAGTATAATGTATCCTACAATACATGCATTTGTTTTTTAAGCTAAGTCTCTTTTTTTCCTTTTTAAGTCAGACATGGTTCATGCTTCAAAATATAATCAGTTCTGAAATGTTTTTACAAGTTTTACAGGAGATTGTGTTTTATATTGTCATTTTTATTAAAGGTATCATATTTACCAATATTTATATTATATATATATATTATATTTATCAATAAAGGACCAACGTTAGCCGACCAAACTGATCCCACCAGTAAACCTTCCCAGAATGCATCTGTGTTTTCCTCTGTCTCCAGATGAGTCAGGGACTCGTCCACGGCGGCTCGGCGCCGGCTTTCCTTCACGCCGCCAACGTCCCGCAGCAAAGCACCCTGGGATACATCCAGCAGCAGCCGCAGCCTCCGGCGCCGCAGCTGCCCCTGAACGCACCGCCGCCCCCCCCCCAGAGGCCGTTTCAGCATTCCCAGAACCAGCCCGGCGCCGACTTCAGGAACCTGCTGACCCGGTAACCCCCGGAAACGCCGTCCGGACGCCAAAACGTGACGTGAAGTCGCCTGAAAAAAAGCGAGAAGGCAGGGCCGGCGCCCGTCTCCATGGTAACGGCAGAGGCCGCTCTGACTCCGGGGGAGAGACCGGGGGCGCCGCGCCTCCGTCCGGAGGCCGCGAGACGTTCAGGACAGTCGGGATTATCGGCGCTCCGAAGATGCGGCTTTCACACGCCGACGTCTGGAAGTTCCCATTTTACGGAGTTTGGCTTTTTTCAAAGTGTCTGCTCGCACCTTGGTCCCACTTCTCCCCAAAAGTACAAAAGTATGATATTTATTTTCCCGTGGATTCACTTTCTACTCTGCTCGGAGAGATTACTTTGTGGATATAAAGCCAGACATTCCTCCTCCCCACCAACACCCCCTTATTTTAGCTTCCCCTCTGGGTCTGAAATACTGATTTTGATGATGTTCATGCTGAGGTGCGTTCAAGTGCAGTACGAGAGATGACCATCATATCAAAAATCAGGACTGGAAAGCATTTAGAAGCGACGCGAGAGTTTTTTCTCATTACTAGAAAGCGCATCTAGATTTTTAAAGCCTCAATCCGGGTCTGAAGAAGGGGTGCTGTAGATAATGAGCGCGTGTCGTGGTGTGAGGAGGCGGGGGGGAAATGTGCCTTCAGCCGTGACGCGTTCACGGTGCAGTTTGATGGTTTTGTCTGATTATGGCTTTAAAAATCCAGCTCAGGTCCATTTGGAATATAAAAGGTCTATTTTCATAAGAGCCTAATTTTTTATTTTCTGCATCAGATTGAAATAGAAAAAGTCATCTAGATTTGTAGCCGAAATATAACAAATACAGATATATACGAGTGTGTATATATATATAATATATGATATGCAGCCTTTATGTCCATTAAATCCCTCACGTCTGAACTTTAGTAATAACATTTAATTGGTAAAATTCACTTAACGTGTTCTTAAACCCTGTTGAAACTATTTATTTTATATCAGAGACATAAATATATTTAATTCAAATGAAATGAAAGAAACTAGTTCACACACCAAAGTTAGAGATGGTTGAGCTCCTTTGGTCCCGTCGTGTTTTCATAGAAATATCACAATCAGAGAAAGTCCAGCAGAGATGTTAATATATAGGAAGCTGAAACATGATCTGGAGTCCTAAACCTAAATATAATTAGATTCAAACACTCACATGAAGACACTTTTAGGAGACAGACGTTCACACAAAGCCACAACCGAGTGAGCTCCCCTAAAAAAAACAGTTATCAGATGTTTTATTCACCCTGAAAATGCAGAATCCTCCACAGGGATCCGGTTTGCAAACACCTGGAAGTCTGTCCTGTCGTTTTACAGAGTTACCAGCTTCTCACGCCGCGATTTGATTTGAACTTTTCGAGACAATCTTTACATTTAAGAGGCTTTTTGGTCACGTCTTATCGTCTTTAGCAGCTGCTCTCCTTTTCTCTCACTGTGGATTAACAGACGAGTGAATGGAGAACGGAGAAGAGATGTTTCTATTCTCTGTTTTTTTCTCAATGCACAACAGCGATAATTAGTCATTTAAAGAGGATCGGGGTGTTTGTTAACGTGTTATTAGGAGCCCGGACATCTGTCAGAGGACATCTTTCCCTGGACAGATAACGAACGAGCAAACAGTCCACTCCAGTTTGACTCTAAAATCCCAAATTTGAAAAATCCTCTCGCTGGAAAATAGCAAAAAAAGAGGACGCAGTCGGGGTGCCGCTCACGTTTTCACCACCAGACGAGACACTTTTACACTTTTCTATGTGCAATGTCGATCTGATCGAAGAATGTTAATTTATACTGTTTTAAATGTTCCAGAACAGATGTATATAGAGGTGTATTATAAAACAGTTGTACCATGTAATTTATATGGAAGTATTTTTTTAATGAAAACGTCCTGAACATTCCTTCAGAGGTATCTTTTTTTTTTTGTAAAGGTAGGTTATGTGTCCACTGAAGAGAGCAGTTACACAGGACAAGGGTTTATTTGCTCCAAACGGGAGAGGAATCATAAAAAAACCAAACACAGAAGTTAAAGGGGGAAAACACGATGAAGAAAAACAGCTCCTCATCTCAGAAACAGCAACTCAGCCACGACTTCAAAGCTCCAAGAAAAAGTGCAATTGTGCATGATCACTAAGACTTTTTCTTTTTTAAATAATATATATCTGTCCTGCCCCCCATCAGTTTGTTTTCATAAACTTCAGACATGAAACTGTTCTGCCAGTAACTCAACAGGTGCCATACACAACTGTTTC